AGTGTTGAAAAATCTATGGTTCGAATTCTAGATATTAATGATTTCATTACAAAACCGACATGCTGGTTGTATACAATTTCAGGTGAGTCTGTTCCGAATTCGTTTGTTAATTCCAATACTAATGAGCACTTTCTAGATACTACAAAGTTTTTATCTTATACAATGTCGGACAGACTCAGGATGAACTTAACAAAAAGACGTACAACCGATTACAAACACTTATACTTCTATTTAAGCTGTGGCGGATGTGGTGTTTGAATTAACTAATGATTCTTTTGTACTTGTTGAATGCTCGATTTCGAATTCTAAATACAGTACATTCGTTGTGCCTGTGTCTTCTTAATTCAATTGCGTTAATCCTGGGATTCCTAATTCATACTATAATTAGAATACTATACTCATGTTTAACGATTTGTTTCTAGCTATCTGTCCAAAATTCATATAATCATCACTCACGTATTTAAATATTGTTTTGATAACCATTCATGTGTATTAGTAGTATTACTAAATTCTATCACGGTCAAGTAAAAATAAGGTTGAGAAAATCTCACCGTAACTAAATAAACCGTATCAAACTAACTGGAACACTAGTTGGAATTCTTTACCATGGTAATACTTTTGTTCCTTCAGTTAGCCTACTGATACAGATGCAATTGGAATTCAACTCTTATGGACAACTTACCGGCATAATCGTTATCCGATTTTATAATTTAAACCAAAACTAATACCAATATTAACATTTCTACAATATTCATTATTTTAATGTTTCTAAACACAAAATACTTACTACCTATAAGTTAAGTTGTTAACCAACGGCTATTAACACGCATCGTTTTATTATTATTATTGTAATCCCATTTTTTATAGTTCAAATAATCTTCACCCAAATTTTCATTTCAAGCGTTTTAAGCATAAAGGCAGATATTTTAAAATTATTACATGTATTTCCCGACCAGATGCTGCCGCTCTCTTTTTGATTTATCTTCCAGCTTACCAATACCCGGAGGATTCTTATTATCCTTGGTAACCTCCGGCGCGCGACGATCCCATCCAATTTGGTATCGAACCAACATCACGTTGATTCTGGTGGGAGAGTAGTGTAGTGGCATTGGACAATAGCCACACAATCCACAAAGCTGTGAACACGAGACTACTCAGAAAATAGATATTCAATATTTAACGCGGAGAAATACCTAACAATGGAGAAGGCGCGAACAAGGAATTGAATGGACTGGGGTTGATCGAGTGGCATGGCTCGGCCATGCAGGCGTGGTCCCTGCTGGATGTTATCCTATATCTCATTCATATTAAATATATTGTTCTTTCTCTATCCTAACCTTGTTCCTCATCAGGTATTGGTAATTGATACGATACAGTGAGTTGGTGTAGTCAATGGTGTGACTTCCACGTAAGATCTTATAGATTAGGCAGTTATATCATGACAAATCGACAGGTTTAGGATTAGGTTTATTATTAGAGCAGTACTAATATCATAGTAGACCATAATTCTACAATAGGATTATATCTATTATTAGATCAGTACTAATATCGAAGTAGACCGTAATACTACAGACCGAATGACAGTCCACTATTTATAACTAAACAAGTCAAGAAACTTCTTAAACTCAGGGAAAAGCATTGGAATACGCCTATATCCACTGAGTTAGAACAATACAGATCCAGTTATCATAAGATTAGGAGTGCTTGTACAGTTATTACTGGTAAGACTAGACGGTCACATGAAAAACAATTTGTTATGGATTGTAATTATCCTCCGAAACGGTTATTCTCGTTTATAAAACGGCGAACTCGGAGAAGCGATGGAATTTTATCACTTCCGATACAAGAAAATCCGTTAATACCGGCAGGAAATGATACCAAAAAAGCCTCAGGTTGGGTTGCTGCAAAAGATCGAAATATTCCTGCAGATGTGATTTTCATAGATCTAAGTAAAGCCTTAGATAATGCTGGTCTGAAATCCAAACGAGAATGTCTTGGAATCCATTAAACAGTCATAGATTTGATATGTGATTTTCTCCATGACAGGGGGCCAAGGGCAAGGGAAAATGGAGCTCCCTCCTCGTGAGAACCTATAAAATGTTGAGTTCATCAAGGCCTAATCCTCGGTCCTCTTCTTTTTTCACTTTATGTAAATAAATTACCAACTGTAGCAAAATCATCCGTTCTACCCTTCGCTGATGATATAAAAATTTGGAGACCCATACACAGTATGTCGGATAGGATAGTATTACAGAATGATCTTAGCTCAATGGTGGTACGGTTGGACAGGTGGTCACTAGAAGTAAATCCTAATAAGAGTGTGGTGATGCAATTAAATAACTATGATGAATCGTATCACTATACAATATGTGGATTCGTGCTACCCAAATTAAGAAACTATAAAGATTTAGGAGTCATATTAAAGTGATCGCAAAACCACTTGTCAGTGTAAGGTTGCTGCTGTGAAAGGCTATAGGGTATTATGGTCTATTCGTAGGTCTTTCCAGTGTTTAGATGATGAAATGTTTAGATTATTATACCCGATTTATATGCTACTAAAGTTAGAATATGGGATTCAAGAAGTTAGTCGTTGTTTCACGTGTGAGGTGGATATGCTGGAACCAGTCAAACGACGATGGACTAAGATGGTAAAAGGTCTGTCAGGCCTATCTCATGAAGACAGACTGACACCTTAACTTATTTCCGTTATCTTACCGTAGAATACGGGATGATCTAGTATTGACTTATCGTATGCTGAACAAAGAACATACGGAACTCCAAACAACTTTCAAACAATATCAAAGTCGAAATTTTCAATACCAACGTCAAGGCAAATCTACTGTATGGAGCTGAAACTTGGAGAACTACAAAAACCACTATCAAGAAGGTACAAGTATCTATAAACAATTGTCTACGCAAGATACTCGACATCCATTGACTGGAAACTATCAGCAACAGCCTTCTCTGGGAGAGAACAAACCAGCTTCCAGCTGAAGAAGAAATTACTAAAAGACGATGGAAATGCATAGGACATACATCACGCAAATCATCAAACTGCACCGCGAGGCAAGCCCTACCTGGAATCCTGAAGGGAAGCGTAAAGGAGGAATGCCAAAGAACACATTATATCGGGAACTAGAAACATTTATGGAAAGGACGAATAACAACTGGAAGGAGCTGGGAAGGATTGCCCGGGACAGGGTTGGATGGAGAATGCTGGTGAGCGGCCTATGCTCCTCCACGAGGAGTAACAGGCGTAAGTAAGTATACTGAACATTGACCTTGGTATTAATACCCCTTATCTTTCACTTTCGTCTAGGACTGATCGTTTGAGAGGACATTCAAAAACCGAGATCAAATCATCTAAGTCTGGATTTTCGTTTCTCACACTGAGTAATGAGTTACTGAAACTCTCAGAACACATAATATCAACACATTCTGCCGATATATCGCAAACGAGATTGAACCTCCACAGTGTTACAAACTGCAAGGAATAATATAGGTTAATAGACCTCCTATTCTAATTACCGAAGACTGATAGATCACGGTTATTTATAGGATCAATCGTGTTTACCAGCAACTCATTCTGATGGCTGTCATCTATTGATCTGTTCCTAAGTTGATTATTCTTCTCAAAAAAGGCTTTAGATGTGTTCTGAATGTAGTTAGATTTTGGTCAGATTGGACACCATGAGAAAAGGTATTGCAGACCTAACCAAATCGCCGCTTGCACTAAACTACCACGTTACTTTTGAGTAGACACTTTACTGTAGGACATTGTTTTTATGGTATAGATTACCATAATCATAATCAACCTCTTATTTTTACGTACTTCAACATATGAGTTTCCGTTTTTCTGGTATATAAGGATTTAAGTGCCATGTCCTCTCGAAATATCATTTTAGGTTATCAATTGGTGACTTCGTAGTATACTTCTATAGAAGCATATTGTTCAACCGTCGAATTAAATAAGGTCTCTGTGAGAAAATTAGGAGTTTTATTTTTAATGTTTGTACAAGTAGTCAATGGGGCATGTGACAGCGTTCTATTTGCTAGCGCTCGAACATAAGTTCAGTCCTACCTCTCTTTCCAAATTTATTTCACTGGATTGTACTCCTTGAACAACATCTTCAAACCCTAATTTTTCTGATTACAGCTTATAATTTTACTACATCTAGCACTACGGGATTTGAATCGACCACTGCATCTCTGTGCTAATGTGGTGTGGCGACTCGAACTGGTGTACGTACGTACGAAGTTCTACGTTGTTAATGACTGACTGACTGACCTATTTCGATTTGCGATTATGTGCATTATCAGTAGTCTTTATAAAACGATTTCCTCAAATTTAGTTGGCGCTTTTGAATTTTAAAGGATTATATATAGTAATAGAGCGGTTTAACTTTTGCATTTGATCGGCTGGAAGCGGGTCTTTTTTCTCGAGTGATCACCGTATACGTCGCTCATTCTTTCGATTATTTTTGATATTTTAGACTCAAGATCTACAGTAGTATTTTCCTTCGGACTTTTTATGTACAAAAATCAGCGATACTATTTTAACTTCCTGTTGATAACTAAGTACAACAATAGAGACCATGCATTTCTGTCAAGTTTTTACTATCTATCTTAGCTCTTACCAGTTCTCCATCTGCACCGTACTTTTTAAGACGCCATATGAAATGTACAAAAATCAATCGCAACCAAGGATCTGTCAATTTTTCTTCAAGTATTTATTTTTATAATGGTGTTTTATTTATTCGTTCTATGCATTGTTTTCTAGACGGATCTTTCGGCCTAATCAGTGTTTTGCTTTGAACTTTAAAAAACTAATAACTCAATGCAACAAGTCTCTTAAAATTCTTGGTCACAAACCACTATTATTTAACTATATTTCTTTAAGTTTTTGTCATCCCTTGATATCTAGACCATGTCATGTTTTTGTTTTCTGATTGCAGAATGCCAAGAGGTTTAGTAGAATGTTTGGTTAAAATAACTGAGATATGTCTAAACGCCCAGTGCGCTCACATACGATTTCTAAATCATGCAAGATACAAGTAAGTTTTTTAAAGGGTAATAGTGAAGTCTGCAAATTTATCTAGTTTCTAATTTTCTTGTCTTATCTCGTTCTTAAAGTTAATGTATTTTGATGTGAAGATTCTTCGATTCCGAGTGATTGGTAGCTAGTTTATTGATCTGATTAGTCTTAATTTTTCGAAACTAAAGACAGATTCATTCTTCAATCAAAAGTATTAAAAACTTTACTAATTGTCAGAAAGGAGTAAATATGTAGCTCAGCAGATCAGTAATATTTGTCAGCCAAAGCAGTTTAACTTATTAATATTTTAAATCGAAAACATATGTTAAGCCAAGTACTACCAAGTTCAGTGTACTGAAACCCAACAATTGATCAGATAAGTAAACATGTGCTCTCAGTATATTTGATACATTTTTTTATTTTCCTCATAACAAATGTTCATGTGCACTCTTTTTCATCCTTCTCATCAAGCCGTATCAATCCTACTTGGTTGTCACAAGTAGCAAGTAACAGTTTTTCCGCCGTCATGACAAGTATTCATATCAGTGTTTTGTTCAGATGTAACACTATTTCTCCAAAAGTTCTATCTTTTCGTGTTAAGTCTAATCAAAATTGATTTAAAAAACTACCAGTCGCTTCCTACCAGTTGTATGAATTATTACCTACGTATACCGAAGAATAAACTAGGGACTTAGAGACTTGTTTATGCTAGCCTTTGGCGCTCTCAGACCAATCCCGTTCATTCAGATTTTTTATCTCAATCGTCTTATGATCTACATGTGTAATTGGTAGAAATAATACCGCAGAGTATCTGATCTTAACGAGCTAGTGAGTAATAATACCACTAAACTACCCTTCACTATATTGGTCCATCCCATTAAATGACCGCCTCTTATTCCTTTCTATAAACCTCAGTGTTAGCTTGGTATAAATGTCATCCCGCTTAAAATGTACACAAACCAAAAGATTTTTGTAAATAACCTCTATGATCCCTGACCACGTGCTTTTAAATCAGAATTGTTTGTGCAAAATTCCGTCAAATATTTTAAGATCGGTAAGTGTGTCTTAGAAAATATCATGTCGAAACATTTTGCATTCGCTCTCAAATGTGTGGAGCCACTGTTTACGATCGAATACCTAACTCGTGTATCTCGAAATGAAGAACTATAGGATTTGGGGTGGTTCACTGTTGTTACATCGTTTTCAGACATTTATTTGTTAACAACTTCAGGACTCACTTTTTCATATAACGGGGATTTCTCATAAGAATTAGAGGACAAAGAAATCCCTGATATTTACAGATCGTTTTATGCCATGAACTACTTCATGCTAGCGATTTTCAGTACAGAAAAGTAGACAGATCAGACCAAAAGTAATGTAGTATTATCATTTTATCCAAATTTAGCAAGTATCAACTATTAGTTAAAAAATGAATTCTGGATCGGACATTTACCTCTTAGTTTATTACTTTGAAGGTGGTGTGTTATAAGCTTATAGTGCTTGTTAAGTTTTTTTTATCAAATAAATAGATTCAAAAAATATGTGTTTGGGCTTTTCGTGTCCAAGTAATCACTAAAAGTAACATTCCCAAAAAGAGAAAGTTTATTAGGAAATATTGTCTTTTTGTTTTAAAGTTGGTAAACACCCATCATTTCTGAAGTAAATAATTTTTTGTTTCGTGATTACCACTTTGCATTGAGGTTTTTACTCGATCAATATAATAGGTAAAATCTCAGCTTGTCAAACTATTTCCACCACAAAATAGTATACCTGGTAGAGTAAAGAATTCATGTTGGTTTTACCTATTTTTTATACGCTTTCAGTATACTATGTTTTTCGCTTAAGAATTTAAAGCGCGTATTCTTATGGGAATCAGTTAGTGTACTCTTAGATTTCTGTTTATAGATGTAACTAAGTGTCACCATGTGCTTAGATATGTTATGTGATGGTCGTTAGTATTGCGGATCTTTGTACTTAACTTTTCTCCAATCATATCTGTTGTATTATCGAGATGTTTCGTGTCAGATCGTGACTGTTAACGATATTTTAAAATTCATTTCAACGGAACTCTTATTTCATTACTTCTTCATCTTAATTAGCCTAATACTCAGGTTACACTTGAACGGGTAATAGGTTTTACGTTGAACAATAACTGCGCAGTTGCATTCTCTGATAAAACTGGTCTTATTGCTCATGCTGCTGGGTGAGTTGCAGTTTAGTACTTATATCGTTTATATGATATATTTTCTGTAGATGTTATTCTGTAGCACAAATTTCATAAAGTTTGCAACATATTTTACTTTTTGTAGTTAATAAATTTCATAGTTTGTCTAACTAGGGAGTGCGATATTCAAATCAGATTTATTTTTATCAGATATACTAAAAGCCATAATATATCATTCTCTTTTGCTAAAAATTGTTTTTTAATCATTTGTTTTAATTTCCATTGCCAATATGCACTCGTGTTTTTTGATGGCATTTTCAGGGAAAGTATGTAAAAATAAAGCTTCTATTCTGCTTCAAGTTGTTCGAGTTTGGGGATCAATTAGAAAACGCTTCAAATTTCAACCATCGATTACTGCTATCCTGTGAAAAGAAGCTTGGATTATCTCATAACTTTCAGATTTAGGATGTTACTTTGTAGACTAATGCTACATCGTATTGATAGTGTTTAGTACAATATCACATCTAAAACGACCAATTAAATTATTCTTCTTGCATCATTATCCACAAATTTGTCAGTTATCCGTTTGCAACCCTGGCCTTGAACATATTTTGTCTGTGGCTTACTCCATTCATCACATCTTTTTAGCTTATTTTTCTGACCATAAATAGTGAGTCACCTTCCATAAAGTGGAGTTGATACGCTTTCCTCCCCCACTCCGCTTCGCTTCTCATCTTAATGTCTGAGTAAACAGGTACATGAAATAAATGGATCAAACCTAATTCGTATTTAGATTTTAATCACCGCCGTCGCCTAAAAAGTGTTAGTCTAAGTGGAATATACGGAATTTAATATAATGCTTATGTTCATGGCTCATTTATCGTTCATTCGTTTTGGAGTCAGATTTCGCACCGCTAAAGGTATAACCATGCGTAGTTCTTTTTTCAATTCACTCCCACTTTAACCGATCGTGTTAAGCAGAAATGAAGGACCTTTGAGTACTTTATTTTTTTTAATTCGTATACTTAATTAATCATGATCTGATAAGTAATTCAGGTATAGTATTATAGCCTAACATTTTCCAAACATGTAATTCTGTTGCACATAATCAAATACTCATTAAGTCGATCGATGGCTTTGTTTTGGTAAGTTTATTTGTCCAGGATTCTTGAAACCATCGTGCAAGTGGAATTTCAGTCCAGTGAACTCAGTCATCTTAATATTTTATCAAATCAACCTATAACCATCTCAGGACACTAATATAACATCAGCTGATCGTGAGTAAGCTCAACTGTCTTGTTCGAGATTGGTTTACAGTCCTATCAACGCTAAGAAATTCATCACACAGAAAACTAACACTATTCTTCCATCACACACTGTCAGGACTTTAAAAATGCTTATAATCGATGACATGCAGCTTAAAACCATCTTCTACTTTTGGTGGTCATGTTTTGTATGTATTATGCAACAATGAGTGAAATGTTTTCTATGTAATCACCCTTTAAACGTCTGTAGTTGGATAATAGCATCAATTAGTATGAAAATTTATGTAGACTAATACTATCTGACAGAATAAAACATTAAATTATTATGTTGTTCAGATGAATAATTTTTAAAATTATGTTTTTCAAGCTATTGATTTAATAATAATAATGTATACATTTGTAAATAGGTGTGTGACAGTTCTTCATTCATTTGAAAATGAACGACAACAATTTATACAAAGTCAAAGTCGTAAAGCCATTACAGCAGTGGATTTTAGTTCAGATGGAAAATATTTAGCCACAGGAGAAGTTAGTTAATTTATTTTGAATCAAAATAAATTTATAGAATTTCTGCATAATTGTACTTCACATTTTACAGTTCAATCAACCCTGTTTTTTTGTTTTACTTCATAAATTTGTAATGTTTCTCTATCATGTTTACATTTATAAAGTTAGGTGGAGAATTTCATTGATATAATAACTATTGGTTAAAAAATTGTAAGAGTTAAATAGTTTGTAAGTAATTTGCATTACAAACCAACGTCATCTGAAAAATCATTGATTCTTAGAAAACACTATCCTAGTTTGATAAGAAATTGCTTTTAAACTCGACATAATTTTTCAGTTAGTTAGTCAGTCAGTCATACGCAACGTAGAACCTGGCACATGTATACATCTGTTCCACTTGCTACACCCCATTACCGAACCTCAACAAAATTTTCGAGGCAAGTAGAGATAGCAACAGTATTGATGGTAATACAAAAACTAAACTTGAAAGATTTTATTCAAGAAGAAAAGCTAATAAGTTAGTTTAAAAACTAAGGTTTTAAAGAAAGATAAACATTAAATGTACTTGTACCAACAATATATACGATATTTAAATCAATTAATAAGTCTGGTTAGCCCTAAACTCAATAATAACTGTACTTTTATTGTTATATATCCTATCATTGTCCTTTTTGACGTCTGTATGAGTTGTTTTAGTCTGTGGTGATTGAACTAGTTATATCAATCATATAATTTGAACTAGTTATAAGTACAGTGCAGTCACTATTATTTTATCCTTTGATTGTTATTATTATGTCACCCAAACTGGTAACAACCAAAGATTCATCGCTAAAAGGGGAACAAAAACTTGTGCTAATGCGATCAAATATAGTGACTGTAATGCTATATATGTAGTTGAAACATCACAGCAGCTGAATGTTAGGGTGGAGGAACACAGACTTTGCTTGAAGCACATTTCTAAGTCATCAGAAAACCTGACAAAAAGCCAGGGAACAGGTCAGCGATAGCACTGTACTCAGAAGAGTTGGGCTGCATAATTGGTTTCAATGGCACAAGAATCCTCCAAAATGTTCTATTTCAGACAAAGAGAGGCTAACAGCCGAAACGCTACACATATGGACAAATCCAAACAGCAGTAATTGGAGAAATTGAATACAATTAATTGTCCTATGGCGATTAATAATAAGTGAACCTGAACTCCTTATTGCATTTTACTCCATTTAATTATGATTATTATTAATAATTAATGGCTTTATTCAATATTATATTTTGGTACAATATAGAATTCTCAGCACAGGGTATTTCAACAAGTTTCTTACACAAAAAAAAACAAAGACAAAAAAGGGTTTAAAAATTTTTTTAAAAAATTTGAAAAACTGTACAACTTTTTAAATTAGAGATATGTTAAGAATGCAAGTTATTGACTAGGTTAACTCTAACAACCTGTTCGTCACAGAGTATATTTGCTAAGTAAGGTATTATAGAACTTTTATACTGTTGCTTGTGTGCATGGATTTTAATGTAATTACGTCTCGTTCTACCAGAAGATATACAAAGAGAAAGATAAGAGTGAAGGGGATGGTTAGTATCTGATAAAATAACACCTGCCAGGAGTTTGCAAGATTTTAGATGTCTATTCACAACCATATTAATAATAACATCAAAAGATTTCCCACACACTCTCTTAACTGCCTTCAGCACTCTCCGCAATACAACAGTGTTTTTATGTACTATGAAAATTACTAAGATAATCCCAAACTTATCAGCAATATCATACATATATACTTAGATACGATGAACGGATATGTGTTAATTGTATATATATTTGAATTGTGAAAAGTACACAGTCATAATCGTTTTGCAATCCGGGGTTTTTTCCCTGCTTAGTTGACTCTAGCGGTTGTACATTTCAGTACTGAATGTCTGATAATTGTTTTGTGATTTTTGTTTTATTATCAATGAACTTTATTTCATATTTTTAATGTTCCTTTTGTAGTCTTAAATCTGTACTTTGCATTTTCTCGCACTAGTTTAGATTTTAATGGATAAATGACCTTGAACTAAAATTATTCCTTCAATACTATTGACCATAGTAATGATCTTTCTAATGCTTACAACAGTTATAATAAATAAACGTATGTATATCACTTTTCAATAATTTCTAGTCTTCAGAAATCGTTTTGTTCTGTATAATACGTCTCTTAAGATATTTTCTTCAATATTGAATGGAGGTTTTTGCATAATTTCAAGATAATTTTTATCATGAAAAATTTGCACCATTGTATCTTGACACATGGTACTGTGTTAACTGTAAGAGTTGATGGTCTTGAGTAAACATTGTTAAGATGTTCCGAAGTTGGATGACACCAATGCATAATGAAAATTACCCGTACATTTGCTATTGTTTATTACTGTTTTCTTGATAATTAGGAGCACCCGTTACTGATGACCATGCTGGTGCATAACTTTCTAGCAACGCCTTCCAAATCTTACGTTTTGATGGGTTGATGTGTTGACCAATGTTTATATCGGACTTTAAGTGTCTTGAAAATAATGTTCAATCAGTTAATAAAGTATTTGTAATCCGTGTTGTATACGTTTGATAACGACTAGTTTTGTTATTCAAGCATGTGACCATCGCCTTCATGGAGTATTATAAGTTTGCTGGATCCAATTTATAACACCGATGAAGTTATTTCTTAATGAATTTGGTTAACAACGCGAAAACAATACTTTTTGAACATTGCTACTACACAGTATTTTTTTAATTTCTGTTTTATATTTGTTTCCATTTTCTTAAAGATTTATTTTCTAAATATTGTTATATGAGTCGTTTTAAAGATTTTTTTATAGGTTTCAAAATTATTGTTTTATATTCTTGAAGTCACAGATGAACTTGAATGAAGCATTTACTGCACTAAGTCTAGTATTTCTTCATGGTTCGTATATTATTAGGATTTCAGAAGAACACATTATACAAAATGGATTTATACTGGACCTAATTATGTATTCCTTATAACCTTTGGATTATATTTCAGATAGTTTTCCACTGCTCTCTGTACGCTTTATTATATAATCATAAAATAGTGGTTTGTTAGTTCCAAGTAGCCCCCGTTATGTCAAAGAATCAAATATTTCTTGTCACGTATGAAAGTAAATAATATTTGAACGTTTACAAAAGTGGTTAACTTTGTCCAAATGAATTTCTTCATTTTATATGTGGCGTTATTCAAATATTGCTTTACTGTTGTCTGTAAGCAAACTTAAGTTGAGTTTTTTTTTCACAGAAGTGATTTATTTCATTTTTAGTTTAGTTCACAAATATGTGTTTTCATTCATATATATCTTTTTTTACTACTTTTGTCGTTGTATGGCAGTTTATCAAAAAGTTATCACTCAGTCAGTATAAAAGTTAACCAACTTTTGCCTTTCGGGATTCAGTTGTTGGATTGAGTGATTAAAAAAGTGAGAAACATGTATAGTCAGAGTGATATATGATTGGTAGTGAGATCAGATAACCTTAAACTGAATTATCATGATCAGTAGCCTTTTTTCTTCTATATTCTTAACTAATTTAAATGAAAGGAATGAAATCTTGACTAAAAGGTTTATTGGACTCGTGATAAGAAAAATTCAGTTACTAATACGCCTGTGTATAAGTATATATTCTTGAGAATTGAACATAAAAAAATAACATAATAAGAGATCAACATATAGAGATTTAGGAAAAAGAAAATATTTCTAGATTATGATCCGACTATCGCCAACACAGCAAAATCTGGAGTTGTAGTGTGTAAAGTTTAATTATTAATCATTAAAACCTTATGATATCAAAATATGACTGTTATAATAACGCCTGTATAGTATTGTGTAGACTATTCTATTTTATAAATTTTCACCATAAATCATTATATAGATAAGTGAGCTTATGTTTACAGTCGTTCTACCATTTGTATCTTATTCTGGGTACTATAGAAATACGTGTTTGTATTTATTTCATTAATTTCAATGTATCGTCAAATAAGTTTATGTTTAATGATTGGTGGTTTTGATGATGTATACTGCATTGGTTTGAACGTAACCAGTCGTCAAATATAGTCATATGTAGTAATGATAAGTGATACTAATCATCATTCTAACTCACTATTTTAGTGAATCATACTTATTTATTCATTTGTTTGTTTCTATGTTATCGTCAGTCCATTTAATGAAATGATTAACTATGGTTTGATTTTTACTTTTAATGTAAACATGCATTATATTTATCTATCATATTTAAATAATTAATTTTTATTGTTTGAATATAATGACATAAATTAACCCGGTGATTTACAAGTTAAATCTTAGACTATAAATTGCTGTTTGATATAGACTACTGTTTTATTCTTATTCTCCATTGTCTTAATGTTTTGCAAATTTTATGCGGGTAACATATACAAATATTAGTGAGTTAATTTCATTGAAATTAAACATCAGACCTAACAACTCAACAATCTCCATAACCCCCTATACTGATGAAAAAAAGAAAACTAGATCACAGGTTTTAATTCATTGCATAAATAGTCATTAGTAAAATTGCTAGTCTTTTTAAAAAAGCATATTGATTATTTAGTTTTTAGGTTGTTGCACAGAGCTCTTACTTTGCTTTGTTTTGTTTATTTTTATGCTTTTTTCTCCCTTTCATAATCTTGTCTTATTAAATAAGTCCTTTCTCCCTCTCGAAATGCTCTCACATGGTTACGCGTATATAGCCTCTGCCAGGGAAGTCCTACTCACTGTCTTCTCGTGGCGGGGGTGTTGTTTCCGAAAATGAGAGGACGAAAAGCGAATGTTCGGTGCTTTAACCGGATTCCAAACCAATGGTGCACATGGGCTCCAGTATCCTGAGGGAACAAATGGCGTATGAACCAATTGTTGATCACCGGCTACCATAGGACTGCATCTCCTTACGATGCTCCACTGCCTTGTGGATCAGACCTTCAGGTCGAAGGCCTTGGGTGTGGCCCTCTAAGAAAACCACCTGCTTCGGTTTGGGCACCCGGGCAGTATCACAGACTTCACACAAATCAAATGAGATTTGTGTGGCGCATATGTATTTGGTGCCTTATTGTACCAATATCTATGTGTTAAAATAAATAAATAATACTGTCATTAATAGCTTACAGTTACAGTCTTACCATAGCTGACTGGAATTTCTGGATTCAATATCACAATTCTTTGTTAATGTACACTACTTAAGAGTTGAAAACTGGAATAGGAAAAGTATCTTATTATAAACAAAGATGGATAGTAGCTAGCAGTGGAATCCAGGACGCGCGTTTCGTCCTGTTTGGGACTCGTCAGTTGGATGTAACTGCATCTCAGAATTGATGTTCACTCTGGGACTCGAACTCAGTACCGTTCGCTTCAAACGCCATCGCGTTATCCATTTAGCTACTGAGTCCTAATAGCCACTTGCTTGTGCAATGGGGTGAGAGACTGATCAATTTCAGTCCTAAAACATCAATGGGAATATTCAAGTAAAACAATATCAAGTGAATTAAAGTATCTTATTGTTCATCGGTTTCCAGTGATTCTTTCTGCTGGTATCAGTCCCTGTTGAAATTCATCGGTGTTTTTTCCTACTGGATTTCAAGATTAATCCATTTTCTTCATAAAAAGCAGGACATTTCTTAAATATCAATACAATTATTTCATTGATATACCAACATTAATCTAGTTTACCCTAATATATAACAGCAAATGGATAGCTGTTTTTTTTGTCTTCCTTGAAAACTATTTGAGATAAGAAAGTCTTTTGGAAAATCCTTTTCCCCTAATTTTTAAATATACAAAGTTAAAACTTATACTGATCCGTTTCAAAATTAACAGTCATGATTATTTGATTAGTGTTATTTCTTTTTAATAGACTTTTTCTTTGTCATAACTTTTTTTTCTTTATATTTAAGGCAACATTTCCAGGTCGAAAATTTCTTTACTTGTTTTTTCAGTGTTGTATTGGTTAAAATGATATTTTTCTTTCACATAGTTATTGTTAGTGTTATCGACTCCCACTGTAATATTATATCATGGATTTTGATTGATTAAAATGTTAATTTTCATGGTTTAATTCTGTAGTAGATAATATGACAGTGTCCTACTGGACTGTAATCAAAATCAGTAAAATTCCATTATGATGTCTTTTACAAAATGATAGTATATTATGAATGTCTTATATGTTTTAGCCACCTAGTAATCCTTTAAATGTTTCCGTTATTGATATTCTAGACAGAGTTTTGATCAGTCTTTGTTGGTAAACGTTCATATTGTGCGAATTTCCTAGATACACCTGTTTTGTTACAAGTTCTTTCCATAGAATAGATGTACTATGAGTTGTAGTGGAATTCAGGTTGGAAATTTCGTCCCATTTGAAACTCGTCAGCTAAATGTGCCTGGATCCTGATGTTGACGTTTACACTGAGAAAATCCTCGTTCGATTTTTATATGCTAACAATGATAGATCGGAATTCAGTTTTGAGCATATTCAACAAGATAATTTAAACATCCTATCCACTGAACAAGTTTACTGGTTATCTGGTATCGGTAAGTCAGTGGATAACGTTAGCGTTTAAAGAGAAATATACTATTCTGAGAAAGTAACGAACAGTCATACTTTTTCAGTTATAAATTAAAAATCTTCAACGTTTTGAAATATTTTCTATTTGGGTGGCAAACAACCTAAATCTATACAACTTATTTTCTTCATGAATTTGAGTAAGGGGAGAACGGCATTACAAACTCTTATTATATTAGGTGTTTTTTTCAACTACTTGCAAATCTTATTCGGACTTATGGTTAACGTGACTCGTAGCTCATGTATCACTATGTTAGCCTTTAATCTGCATGAAGTTTGTAACTAACTGGCGAGAATCTTGCACATATAATGTAGCTATATGTTTTTACTGTTAGTTTCTGAACAGATTATTTTTACTTTAGGAATGCGTATTATTTATTTGAAATAATCTTTTACCAAAGTATTGTCTTATAGCTGTGTGACGAGAAATTCCATACTTTCCCTATTTCAAATTGATGAGAAGCTATAACGAGTGGGTAGGCTTATGGGCGAACGGGGTAGGGGGTAGAATAGAAACAAAACAAATTCTGTCGTTTAAAGGTACACATGTTGCCAGAGGAACACTTTCTTTTTTGTGTATCGATTTTTTTAGTTTTGTCCATTTAAATTTATAATGATAAAATATTACTACCTACGTTGAAGTTTTTACTTTAGATCATTGAAGTCATACAGGAATATTTTTAATAGTATTTCTTAACTTCAACTTTTGAAAAGATTGTAATCGTCTCAACCAAGTCATCTGTTTCACCAATAAATATCCTGTGATTGATAAAATACTACAAAAATAGCTGTTTTCTTCACTAAATAGTTGTTTTGAGAATAATAAAACTGCACAAATAACTTATAAATTAGACTATTTTAAAGTAGTTTTGATTGACAAAGACTGAATTTTTTTTTTACAAAGAAAGGTTTATTTTTTGTCAGTAATTTCTAATTCTAATCTTCCCATGACTGAGAATCTTGTTTTTCTTCGGCCATTAATATCTTCACTCACATATAGGAAATCATACACTTTCAAGCATCTTGGTTACTCTACTCGACAAAAGTACCAAGTTATTTATTTTCATATGATTTACTGTTTACGAAAATCAATTATTCAAACCTACTTTCTGAGTCGATTTATAGTTTCTTGTGTCATTCAATTGACATATTCGATTTGAATAGGATTTATTGTCATATCATTGCATCAATTCTCTTAAACATCATTACCGTATAATATTGAGCAATATAACTCCTTCATCTATTCGACTCGTAGTTAATTTGATTGTATTAGGGATAGTGATACTACTCAAATGCCCAAACCGAAGTAGGTATGCGATTGTTTCAACCGCTTACTTATTGATTGAGAGCTGGGTACGTTAATCACTAAGCTATCCCTCCGTGGAGGGACATAAACTTCCTCAGGATTGCTAATAACATTTTTAACGACAATTACTAATTAGTCCCAAACCTAGATTTGAAGTTCCCCACCGATTACTTACACCTGCGTAACACCAAACATATACCACAGCTATATCAATTAGTCACATTGCGATTCGACTGACTAGATTCGATCAGCGTTACAGTCTAGGCAATATGATATTTCGTCTCTATTAAATAGTTAATTAACATGCCTCCAAGTTACTTTTAACTTACAGCATAAGGTTCATTATAGTGGACAAGGGATTTTTATTAGAGCGTTTTTTCCATACAGGGTGTTTTCTAAGTTATTTTTTCTGTATTTAAACTTTGTTCAAAGATGAAAGCAAAGTAATTTAACTACTTCTGTAATGAACTAAATATAACACAGTCTACTAGTTCAAATGTTTTTTTTAATCAGAATAGCTGACTAATAAGACGATGTATTCATTGGTTATTCCATTATGTTGATCATTACCCGTTTAATCATAGTTTTAATAGTATTTTTTCCCTAAATTATCATAATTTCTAGTCAGGTCATCAGCCAATGGTTCGACTATGGAGTGTGTCAGATCATTGTCAGTTAGCTGAATTCGGTGGTCATCATTTTCGTGTCGTAGCTGTACGTTTCAGCCCGAACGATCAATATTTAGTTAGCGTTGGTAGTCAAGAAGATCATACTCTGTATGTATGGGATAGACAGAGTGGACAACGAGTAGCCAGTGCAAAAGTTACAAGTCGGGTAAATAATGATTTTTGTTTTTGACATATATGTTTTTTTACCATCGATTGTTATTTCATAGCCTTTTGAAACTTTGTGCAAGACAAAGGTGGTGTATAATTTTTTTTAAAAAGTTTTTTTTTCATATCAGAATCTCAATAGTAGGTGTTCAAATAAGCCAGCGTGTATTTTTAAATGTTTTTGCTAGTTGGACAGTAAATAAATCGGTTGCTGATAAGTCTGCTAAGTGAACACTCGATGCGATTCCGTAGCCTTCTCTAATTACCTGTTAGGACCTGAGTTTATACCCAGTAGATTAATTATTGCTTGATATGATGGGATGAAAAGTCAATTTTCGATTGAATTACTCGTTATGAGTTTTATTCAAGATTAATTCCGTTTTGATTCAATATGAGGATCATTCAATGTACTATTTGATTGTTTTTCCAGTATGATATTTTCTTCTGTATAATATACGATATTCTTGTATTCACTTGACATGAACTATGCTCATTAAGTGATTTGTTATAACTGAGTATGTGATTTCGTCCTAATTACTAATCAAAATGGGTGTACAATCAATATATAAACCAGTGTATTTTATACTATATTTGATTCGTCATTGTCATAGTGTTTGGGCTAATAAATCTTCACTTATACCAGTCTTGTGTTCTTACTTTCACATCGTGGGAATTGCCGAGGTCCCTCGTTCCGAGTATAAGTGATCAGCGCTTAGCTCAGGCTAAATCTACACGGTAAATTGAACACAAGAGAAAAAACGCAAAGTACAAAAAATACACTTTATTCCAAGGTTAGTTTCTATACAGAAAAACGAGAGTATTTATAGAGTTACGCACAACCTTCGGCTTCTGGAGATTTCTGTAACCACACTAAATATAGTAACGGTATGGGCAAATATCCTGTTAGAAACGTGGCACATGGCTCTTCAGTTTCTAGGTGTTTATGAGTAGCTTCTGTTCAACCCTTACTGGGTAAAGTGTTTCCAAGCGTTTTCTGAATCCCCCTGAATTTTCCCAAGAAATACTATGGAACTCCCCAGCAGTTATTAATAGTGAGATTTCTTAAGAATTAATTAAATAGCTTTGTAATTCCTAAAACTTCTGTACTGATTAGGGCTGTTGTCATATTTTAATTAATTAATCTCAGATATGTGTTTAAACAGTTTAAGTCTAACCAGTTGTGGTTTGCATACATATAAGTTTTATTAATTTTAATTTGTTAGATAATTTATTTATCTTTCATTTAGTTTGTTTGTCAAGATTTATTAGATTTAAACAGTCCACTAGCGATTCGTAGCAAACCAAGGAGCTCAGAACAACTGTTTCTAGCTAACTTCTAGTTCATTATGAATCCATTTTCAAGACACTGGTTGTAATTTAGTCGACCATTTTGTCAACTTCGGTCATTTTTTAATATGATGTGTTTTTCATCTAGTTTTACTGTATGGATAACTGTTTCAGCCGCGAATGTGGTTGGTGTCACAACATTACACTAGTATTTTGACAATATTCAATTTCTAATTTGATATGTAGCAACTCACAAAAGACAGATTCATAAACGCAGCTTTAAGGTACATTGCGTGTTTGAGGGTTAGTGATGTTACTCGACTGCCCAATCCGAAATAAGTGAATCAAGATTCGAAACCACAATTTAGTGAGTAAAATTTAAACATTCCAACCATTAGGCCATCGCTTCACGCATTTGAAAACCAGTCGTTAGTAAGTCGATCTAGGTGCTTTATTTATAAGCAAGTGATAAGTAACTTGGAAATCCCCTAAAAATGAATTAGTCAGAATTCGAATAATTCATTCAGTTGCTTTGTGTCAGCACGATTACTCCTTTTATTTAACTCAGTGCTCATTGATGAAGTTTTAATAAAATCATAAATGAGTGACTACGGGGTTTCGTAAAGATTATCGAATTTCATAGTTTGAATCAGAAACTGATCTCAGATAGATCACCACTGAAAAAAGACAGAGAACAGTAGGCAGCAGTTTCGTTTTAGCATGTAATTCCTTGTCAGCGTTCATCCTCAACCCTACCACTAGGGATCGGACCCAGGACCTTCGATATTGTAAAGGAGTATATTGTTTCCCTTTGCCAAGACTCGGAGTGTAGGCGAAATAAATTTAGTACACGGTATGTATTAGTAGTTTTCGAAATTTTTTCTCAGCCTTTTTATTACTACACCCCTCCATAATTATTACTGCTTACTGTCTCCTTCCTTTTTATATTTCCCCACCAGAAAAAAATACTATCATTTTGTTTAATGCAGTTAATTTTTTAACGTTTCAGTTGGCATCAAGTTTTTTCTTGTGCTACGTTGGATTTATACATAAAGAGCTTTTTTGCCTTTTTCTATGATGTGGGTATTTCTTAAGTTTGAGAAATATTTTCGTTAGGGCAAATAGTAAAAAAAATGGAGTCACATTAGTTTCCTGCACACATCCATTCCTCATATTGTCAACATTGTATATGACCAATTTTATGTAGGTTTCTGTTATTATCTAAAATCGTTGTGTTTCTTACCAATCACATCTTTTAGATCGTAAATCAGTCCTGTTAATTGTTTCAGTTCAAACTGTTTTGGATTAGGTGTTCATCACTAATGCGAAACACTCAAATTAGTGGTTATTAGATGAGAAAATGATACTTCTCGTCATCTAGTTGTCATAATAATGACCTTAGATGGACAAATCAATCAATGTATATGTGTTTGCATAAATAAGGGAACTCCGAATATAAAAATCCATTTAGACTAGTTCTGTTTCGGAATAAATAGAGCCGATGTGTAGAGTTACAAACTATTTGGAGATATCTCATTAGTTCAGACATTCTAATTTTAAATGAACATATCACCAGTTCAGAACCCACGTTCTGTTTACCAATGTTTTGTCAGATAATATGGCTAGCTTCAAAATAAAACTTTTCAGGTAAATTGGATTAAGTAACACGTCCTACGTGATAAATTTCATAATAAAAGGTAGTGGATGTAGGTGTAGTGTGGCGTCGTGTCGCGGTTGACTATGATCATCACTATAGGAGGACTACATGCCAGTTAACCGATAAGACCCCCCGTAAGCCAAATATCAGAAGTCAGTTGATGGCTGTAGTCGAGATGTATTTGCTGGTATCGAAAGAATACTGAGATTGTGCCAAAGAATTACAAGTGTGGTTACTGAGCGTAACCGAATTCGTGCAAGGTCACAATCAAAGGAAGGAAGAATGTCTTTAGTACAGATAAACAAGCAAGTACAGTAAAACAATCACTGGTACAATTGGTTATAATAATAATTGTTTCCGTTAAACCAATCGCGTTCTCTTGATAAAAGTAGGTCACTACATAGGCTCTGGGTAATGTGGTCTGCTTCATGAAGAATTCAACTTTAAGTTATTGGGTTAAGTTTTGAAATCCCACTCCACGTAATTCGTCCAGTGTATTTCGTTTGTTTGTTTTTGTTTTTTCTTAATTCGGCAGAGCTGTAATTATCTCTTTTTTATCTTGAGAAGTAAATTAAATACTGATTAGGTTTACTTGTTATTTGAAATGGTATTCACTTATTTTATAGTATGTTATTATGCTAATTGTTTGTCATTATTTTACGTGATAGTTTTATTTCGTATATGCGCTAGCCACAGATCTCACTACTGGTTTTATAGTTTTGTCTGTTGTAACGAGGAATTATTCCATTCGAAAATATATGCTCCTGTATTTACCAATAACTTATTTCTGGAGTCAATCCCCGGATTTCTAGCGAGAAGCTGTGACTAGTGCAGTTTCATTGTGCTTAAGGTGAAGCAGTTACCCACGAATAAGATCAGAAAATGGTTGCGCAGTATCATTGGTTGATTCAAGTTGGGGATGTACACTACCGGATGCCAATTCAGTGGTTTAAATGTTAGGCTCTCGCCGCTATATCTAAATGTTCAGGGTTAACTCCCCTGAGGTGGAATCATGGATGGATACCTTTGAGCAATTCTATACTAGGACGAAACGGCTGTCCGGTGCTTTCTGGTTTCGGAAGGTCAATTTGAATTCAGTCCATGATATGAACATTGAAGTCCGAAAATAGCATCAGGTGATTCTCAATTGTTCTGTCACTTGTTATAAATCCACGATAAAATCCTCATGTCGGTGTGAAAACTGAATTATGTGTGATTGGTATTTGACATCAAAAGAAACTTCCATGTTGTCAAACATAGACTGTTTGCGTTACAGATGCGATAGCAATTTTTATATCTCAAGATGTTACACCCACTTATTCATGAAGTTTATGGTTAATCTAATACATAAAACAGTACCTATTCGTCATTTTAAGCAAACCTAATAGGTTCTAATCGCTAATAACACTAAAATCGAACAGTTGGACATATAAATATTAATAGCGACATGAAGTGGAAATTGAACGATGAAAATACAAGGTAAACAAATAGGAGTGACGAATCAAAATCATTAATTAGTACATTATGTTCAAAACTTGGCAAAAGGTAACAAATAAATGCGTCTTCAAAACGTCGGCTACTTTTAAGCTACATCACTTGAAGTTACCAACTTTTAATTGTAGGAATATATGACCAACCGTTTTTATGACTTGAAATAACTATACATTCATGGTTTTTTGATAGCTTTCTAGTTTTTATCTAATAATAATTTCTCCATTCTTTCCAGCTCTATGATATCCGGCAATTAATTGCTTAGACATTATCTAGATTATTGAGATGATCGGGGAGTAATTGTAGCTGAGGACGAGGATGTTAGCATTGTCTTACCTGAGTTGGATGGTTTATTCGTAAATTTCTCTTTATCCTTCTAAATGACAACACCATAAGACCTATCTCTATACGACAAAATGCATGAATAGAGATGGGTGTTACGTTATATGACCACAGTGTGAAATGTAGAAATATAGGGTTGTGGAGGTTGTCGAATTTCGCTTAAATCATGAACCAACCCAAAAGACTTAAAGAGCCGTCTCATTTTAGTATGTGATATCCCAACT